GTCCAAATGGCGACCAGGCGATTTTTAATTTAAAATGCTTGTCTTTTTCGTCATTCATGTGATATGACAAAGAATAATTTGACTTCTGCGTTTCCAGAAACTTATTAGAAGCGCCCTCAATAGGATTTTCATCAGGCGCTTCTACTAAAAAACGAAATTAAGTCAGCCGTAACTGGTTTTTAAGCTGCGCTGTGACCTTACTTTCATTTCACTTCGAATTGGCGCTGATTTTACCACTATGGAATTAGGCAAGCCAAAAGTCATCATAATAAAATACAATCACCTGATTCATGACCACGCGTATTCACTCAGTGCTCACCCGGAACAACGGCTTGTGAAAATGCACGACTGTTTCTGCTGCCTCATTGTACGCCGCCGCTTAGTAGACGGAACTGGCTACGCATTTTTTAAGCCTGTTAAATAATTATAAAGACCGAAATTTTGCAGATGAGGACATACCGTTGACACTGTTGCATGGATCAGCAGCTCCAACATCCAGTGAACGTGGACATTCAAGGCATCATCATGTAATGCCGCATGCAATAGCCGAAGATCCACAGGAACGGGAAGAGGCACAGGAAACGGAGCCAAATACAACGGAGGATGTGGTGGAGCTCAGTAGCTCTGGCGTAACATTTAGTGCACCACCGCAGCCTTCTTCGGACAACTCGCGGCAAATGATACGGCGACGAAGCACAACGTCTGAAGGCGCAAGTAACGGGTAAATGACCAGCAGAACTAGCAAACAAATTGGGTTCCTGCAGCAACTATAGCACTCGAATTCATGTTCTCTGCGATTGTGACAATCGTTTGGGTCAAATTTGCCTCGAAATGATGCAAATTAAAACGTGTCAAACTCGCATTTCGCAAATCTTATGTGACATACAAGTTTGTAAGCAACCGCAGTAATTGTTTTTCATCTTAACTGTTTATGAAAACGTTCCATAAAGTCATTCACGAAACAGAAATAGATATTTTGGCTTATCATACAACTTCATTCAGCACACAACGGGGCGTCGTCACGGATTCTGACAATGAGGAGGCTCTGGCCGCAAATAGCAAGAAATAAGAATCAAGATGGATTCCTCATCAGCACCAAAAAATCATAAAACATTAATTTTCTAGCTCATTCCGCCCTAAATTTACAAAACCCGCCCTATTTTTATTCAAAGGTTGGAATGGAGCGAAGTTTTCTGCAAAGTTTCAGATTATCTACTCTAACCATTGAAATGACGTTCCAGCTTTTAATTTTATTTTAAAAAATAACTTACACAAATTCCCATTTTGTTGTTTTTTTTTTGTTGCAATAGTTATAAAATTACCCAAAATATAGGCCTAGTCTATTGACTCGCAAAAATCCGAATCGGATGGCTGGGCATTTTGTTGAGAGCGCCGTTTCACGACTTTTAACTTTCACTGTTCAGAAGTCGGATTGTCCG